AAAAATTATTAATCAAAAAATCCCAGCCTGGCACAGTGGCTCATGCCTGGAATCCCAGCACTTGGGGAGGCCAAGGCAGGTGGATCACCTGAGGTCAGGAGTTTGAGACCATCCTGGCCAACGTGGCAAAACCCCATCTCTACTGAAAATACAAAAATTAGCCAGGCGTAGTAGCATGCACCTGTAATCCCAGCTACTCTGGAGGCTGAGACGGGAGAATTGCTTGAACTCAGGAGGCAGAGGTTGCCGTGAGCCGATATCGCGCCACTGCACTCCAGCCTGGGTGACAGAGCAAGACTCGGTCTCAAAAAACAAACGAACAAACAAAAAAACCCAAGTGAACCAAAAATGGAATAATCTTACTCAGGACATTTTGTAAGGGATGTGAAGGACCATGCAAACATTTAGCATTCCATCCAAACTGGGCAAACCGAAAGTAGGCAAACCCTCCTGCTTACACAAACACTCCTAGTTGCTGCTTTCACTGATCTCATAGTACCTCATTTTCCACAACTCTAACTCACAGTGGAAGAGTGCTGTTTATGGGCTTATGTTCCTGCCCCCTGAGGATATAAATTTCTTCAAGGCAGGATTATTTTATCCTCTCATGGTGAGTAAACAGATAAGCGATTCAGGTGCATCCTGACCAGCCCAGCTGAACCACATTCATTTATCACTCCCATTCATTTCTATTCTCTTCTTTGTTTTTGTTTTGTTGTTGTTTCAGACACAGTTTCTCTGTTGCCCGGGCTGGAGCACAGGGGAGCAATCTTAGCTTACTGCAACCTCTGCCTCCTGGGCTCAAGTGATCCTCTGGCCTCAGCATCCTGAGTAGCTGGGACTTAGAGGTGTGCATCACCACGCCCAGCTTTTTTTTTTTTTTTTTGTAGAGACAGGGTTTTGCCAGCTTGCCCAGACTGATTGCAAACTCCTGAGCTAAAATGATCTGCCTGTCTCAGCTTCTCCAAACGCTGAGATTACAGGCGTGAGCCACAGTGCCCAGCCCTCCCTATGTTAGGACAGCACCAGCGGACTAATTCTCAAGTTCTACCTGCTAATTTACCCAATGCTTCATTGTCATGGACATGTACCCACACAGACAAGCCAGGGGCCAGACTGTACTAGACCTTCCCACAGCCTAATTTTTAGGACAGAGTAGCAACAGTTGCACATGGGCAGGGGTCAAAAACAAAAGAACCCAGGGGTTCTTTACAGCCGTGGCTCTCAAAGCGTGGGCCTGGGACCAGCAGCATCACACCACGTGGGAACGTGGCCAAATGTCAGTGCATGAGCTCTACCCTGCACCTGAGACTCTAGGCGAGGGGCCCAGCAAGCCCCACTGCTGGAACAAGCCCTCACTCAGATAAGCCTGATGCATGTTCAAGTTTAAAAAACCGCTGACTTAGAGCAATATTAGCCCGAAAGAACCCAGTGTTAGAAGTTCTCTCTTCTTGCTGCTGGCTAGGAGGAGGTGGGTTCCCCCGAAGGTCATATGCCAAAGGCCTCCTTCAGTGTGAAACCACCCCTATAGCTTGCAGCAGGGACACCAGCTGCCCTGGTACTTCAACATTGTTCTTCGGTTGACTCAAGAGCTGACAGGAAGAGAGAACGTGGAGGGACGTGCCAGGTGTGAGGGACCTTCACAGCCCATCCATCGTTTTAAGCTCAGGCAGCTGACTTGGAAAAACCCATCAGAATCACAAACAAGGCCAGCCAGGAGGCTGAGACCTGGTGTGGCAGGAAGAGAATAAAGCATCCTTCATTGAGTGAGTGAGAATCTCCAGTCAACCTGGAGGTCTTGGCAGATGGAGGCAGGTGCTTGCTGCATAGAACCTGAAGCCTTGTACCTAATTTTCAGAGTCCATTTAGCATAGTCCTGGTAAGCTTCGGATAAGGGAGTGAGGTGGGATGGGAGGAAAGAGATCAAATAGTCTAAATCTCCAGCAAAAGTATCCCCAGCCCCGTGACCCTACGAAGGCTTTGGAGGCTGCTTTTTCTTACTGAAGCTTCTTCCCAGCATATAAGAAGTTTTTTGCTATTCAGAGACAGAATTCGACCTGACAGCCCTTGGGAAAAGAACGTCTCCCCACTCCAGGCTCTGAGAACCACACAGATACCTTCGCTAGGGTCCCCAAACTATGGCTCATGGGCTAACTCTGGGCCACTGCCTGTTTCTGTGTGGCTCACAAGCTAATAATGGTTCTTACATTTTTAAGTGACTGTAAAGTTTCAGATTTTGTGGCACATGAAAATTACATAAAATTCAAATGTCTGAGTACATAAATGAAGTTTTATTGAAACCGCTCTGCCATTTGTTTATTGTCTACGGCTGCTCTAGAACTGCAGCGTTGAGAAGTTGCCACAGAGACCAGTTGGCCCCCAGAACCCAAAGCATCTCCTACCTGAGGCTTTCCAGAAGAGACTGTCCACCACTGCTTTAAAACAAGGAGGTGCCGTTCATGAGCCCAACAAGAAACTCAGCCAGGTTTGGCTGTGCATTGCCACACCAAAGCAACTTTTTTTTTGAGACGGAGTTTCACTCTTGTTGCCCACGCTGGAGTGCAATGGCATGATCTCGGCTCACTGCAACCTCTGCCTCTTGGGTTCAAGTGATTTTCCTGCCTCAGCCTCCCTAGTAGCTGGGACTACAGGTGCCCGCCACCACACCCAGCTAATTTTTGTATTTTTAGTAGAGACGGGGTTTCACCATGTTGGCCAGGATGGCCTTGATCTCTTGACCTCATGATCCACCCGCCTCGGCCTCCCAAAGTTCTGGGATTACAGGTGGGAGCCACCGCGCCCAGCCCCAAAGCAACTTTTATTTATCCTGTTAACTGTTGTGGACTCTCCTTGCTTCTGTTACTAAGTCTAATAAATGCCTTAATGGTACAATTCTGAGTCTCATCCAATCCCTCACTTTCCTATTCATTCAGAACTTCTGCTCCTGGATTCTCAAGGAATGAAAAAGCACCTACTGTGAAAATTTGTTCCAATGACAGTGGGACAAAGTCAGAGGCAGGAGGCACAGGCTTCTCTAAGGACCACGTCCTTTTTGTCTCCTGCCCCGTTCACCAACTGCTTCAAGTGTCCCCTCAGTCACTGAGGGATCTGAAGCAATTCTGGCATGACCTAAGCACCAAAGATTTTTTTTTTCTTTTTTTTTTTTTTTTTTTTTTTTTTTGTGACGGAGTCACTCTGTCACTGAGGCTAGAGTGCAGGGGCACCATGTTGGCTCACTGCAACTTCTGTCTCCCGGGTTCAAGCAATTCTCCTGCCTCAGCCTCCCGAGTAGCTGGGATTACAGGCACCTGCTACCATGCCCAGCTAGTTTTTATATATTTTTAGTAGAGATGGGGTTTCATCATGTTGGCCAGGCTGGTCTTGAACTCCTGACGTCAGGTGATCCACCCACCTCAGCCTCCCAAAGTGCTGGGATTACAAGTGTGAGCCACCACACCTGGCCAAGATCTGCCCTTAAGAGAAGTTACTACTACTTTTTTCCCCCTTAACCATTAAACTATTTTTTTTTCCATTTACTAACCCTTGATATTGAAAAGTTAGGACTTCAGTAAAAATCAAACCAGTGTTTGCATATAAACTTTTTGTTGCTATTCACATGCTGTGTCAATCTCAGTTGCAAACAGAAAGGACAGGTTGCAGACTAGAACGCCTCAATTCATTTGGAAGGAGGCTTCAAAAGCTAACTCTGTATTCCTTCACCAACAACCAGGCAGCTGCCTTTAACAAGTCTCGGGATTGGATATGCTGGAATTGCCCAACACGGGTCATCAATTCCAACTCAACAAGGATGCTACTCAGGTATTTGGTATTTGATGATCAACAGAAATACTTCAGAGCACCTCCCAGCAAAGTTACATAGAGTGACAGGTGGGACTTGTTTAAGGGCGGGACGCAGAACGGCAGCCCGGGAATCTGCCTGCAGAGCTGAGCTCTGCCCCAGTCTCCACCAGAGAGGGAAGTTGCAGATCTTTCTGGAACAGGCACAATTGGCCACAATTAGAAGTCCAAAGTGTGAACCACTCACTGCTTCTCCTTAGGAACCATCATACGGTGTGTCCAGCAGGCGTTCTGAGAGCCAGAGGACGGCTGCGCCCCGGGGCTGGCCACCGACACACATCGCCCCACAGGGACCACTGAGGCAGCCACTGACCGACATTCCTGTCTACAGGCTCAGAGCCCTCTCAACCACGTGGCCACATCTTCTGCAAAGTGCCGGCCGGGGGCATGCATGACACAACTTTGGGGAACTGAGTGGGCTTCCTCGTCTTTAAGAAAGCAGCGGGCTGGGCTGCTCTCCTGCGGCTCTGGCTCTGCATCCATTCATTCTCTCTGGGTCTGCCTTAGTTCCCGGGTGGTTAATTCGGAAACGGGGCAGGAGTTAAGTTGCTTCCTAGCTGTTTTGTTGATGCTCCAGCCCCATCAAGAGCCAGCTCCTTGCCATTCTGTAAGGCACAGAAGGTGCCTTCAACTAAACCAGGGGACAGTGCAGAGGGTTAAGAGGGGGCCACAAAGAGAGGGCCCCAACTCCTCTTGAGCCAGCGCTCCCTGCGGAACTCCAGGGTCACCTCGCCACCCAGAGGCAAGACAAGTGCACAGGCAGCCACAAGGCGCCCGCCAGGTAGACGGTGTTTCTGCCGTCCCTGCCGTCACCCGCTGGGTCCCGTCCCGCTCCAAGCGTACTCCCGGCCCGCAGGGTGGGAACACGAGGACCACCGTGCCCCACGGGCGGGAGAATCAGGATCGCAACCTCGGCGGAGTCGGCGCCTCTGGGCACCTCCGGCTTCCGCGCCCCGGCCGCGCAGTGACCACCCGGGAGGGGGACCTCGGGCGCCCCACAACCTCCCGGACCCCGTGGGCCTCCGGGTCGCCCCGCTTCCCACCGCCGCGTCCCCTTCGCGCGTCCCAGCCCTCAGTGCCGGCCCCGTCCCCGCGTCCCTCCGAGTCCTTAGCCGGGCCGGTTCCCCGCCCGCCGAGCGTACCCATGGCGGCGGCTCCCAGGGCTCCTGCGACTGGCTGGCGGGACGTGCTCCTGGCAGGTGCGGCTCCTCAGACCTGGCGTCCAGGTCCGGCCCCGTCGTCCCAGGTGCAGCCCCAGCTCTGTGAGGCGGGGCCACCGGCTCCACCCGGGGGGTGGTGCTGCGGGGAGCAGAGGTCCGTGCTCCCGAGCCGTCGCGCGTGGACACCGGCCCTGGCCCAGGTGTGGGCGGGAATTCCCCGACGGAAGCGCGTGGCAGGCCCGGGGAGAACCAGTCTAAACGCAGATTCCCAGGCCCCATCCCCAGGCCAGCTGACTCAGGAGGTCGGGGCTGCGGCCCCAGAATGTGCATTTCTAAGAAGTCTAAGGGGAGGTTGTTGCTGCTGGACCCAGGATCACACTTTGGAAACCACTGTGGGAGGAACGCAGGCTTCTGGGTGGGGAGGCAAAACACAGTGGGACAGTGGTCAGCTCTGTGTGTGTGCACGCGCACGCACGTGTGTGTGAGGATTGTGTGTGGGTGTGAGGATTGTGTGTGTGTGTGTGAGCATATGTGTGAATGAGGACTGAGTGTGAGGGCATGTGAGAATGTGTGTATATAGTTTGTGTGTGAGAATGAGTGTGTGATTGTGTGTGAGAGAGTGTGTGTGTGAGAGAGTGTGTGCATGGCTTTATTTTGAGATTCAATCTTTGAAAGCATTTCTGGGGGATTCTACATTTCCTTTCTTTAAGAATCATCCTTTCTTTAAGAGGACACAAACAAATGGAAGAACATTCTATGCTTATGGATAGGAAGAATCAGTATCATGAAAATGGTCATACTGCCCAAGGTAATTTATAGATTCAATGCTATCCCAATCAGGCTACCACTGACTTTCTTCACAGAACTGGAAAAAACTACTTTAAAGTTCGTACGAAACAGAAAAAGAGCCTGCATAGCCAAGACAATCCTAAGCAAAAAGAACAAAGCTGGAGGCATCATGCTACCTGACTTCAAACTATATTAGAAGGCTACAGTAACCAAAACAGCATGGTACTGGTACGAAAACAGAGATATAGACCAATGGAACAGAACAGAGCCCTCAGAAATAACACCACACATCTACAACTATCTGATCTTTGGCAAACCTGACAAAAGCCATGGGGAATGGATTCCCTCTTTAATAAATGATGCTGGGAAAACTGGCTAGCCATATGTAGAAAGCTGAAACTGGATCCCTTCCTTACACCTTATACAAAAATTAATTCAAGATGGATTAAAGACTTAAATATTAGACCTAAAACCATAAAAACCCTAGAAGAAAACCTAGACAATACCATTCAGGACATAGGCATGGACAAAGACTTCATGACTAAAACACCAAAAGCAATGGCAGCAAAAGCCAAACTAGACAAATGGGATCTAATTAAACTAAAAAGCTTCTGCACAACAAAAGAAACTATCATCAGAGTGAACAGGCAACCTACAGAATGAGAGAACATTTTTGCAATCTACCCATCTGGCAAAGAGCTAATATCCAGAATATACGAAGAACTCAAACAAATTTACAAGAAAAAAACAACCCCATCAAAAAGTAGGCAAAGGATATGAACAGACACTTCTCAAGACATTTATGCAGCCAACACATGAAAAAATGCTCATCATCACTGGTCATCAGAGAAATGCAAATCAAAACCACAGTGAGATACTGTCTCATGCCAGTTAGAATGGCAATTATTAAAAAGTCAGGAAACAACAAATGCTAGAGAGGATGTGGAGAAATAGGAACACTTTTACACTGTCGGTGGGAGTGTAAATTAGTTCAACCATTGTGGAAGACTGTGTGGCGATTCCTCAAGGATCTAGAACTAGAAATACCATTTGACCCAGTGATCCCATTACTGGGTATATACCCAAAGGATTATAAATCATTCTACTATAAAGACGCGTGCACACGTATGTTTATTGGGGCACTATTCACAAGAGCAAAGTCTTGGAAACCAGCTCAAATGTCCATCAGTGATAGACTGGGTTAAGAAATTGTGGCACATACACACCATGGAATACTATGAAGCCATAAAAAAGGATGAGTTCATGTGCTTTGCAGGGACACAGATGAAGCTGGAAACCATCATTCTCAGCAAACTATCACAGGGACCGAAAACCAAATACTGCATGTTCTCACTCATGGGTGGGAGCTGAACAATGAGAACACATGGACACAGGGCGGGGAACATCACACACCAGGGCCTGTCGGGGGGTGGGGGCTGGGGGAGGGATAGCATTGGGAGAAATACCTAATGTAAATGATGAGTTGATGAGTGCAGCAGGCCAACACGGCAGATGTATACCTATGTAGCAAACCTGCACATTCTGCACATGTACCCTAGAACTTAAAGCATAATTTAAAAAAAAAAATCACAAAACAAAAATAATAACTCAGTGGTTGTCTCCAGGTTATTGTTCTGTTTTCTTGCCTGATCTCAGGATGTTCTGCAAACAGGGAGGAACATTAAAAGGCGGAATGAAGGTGAGTTTCCACAGCCTTTTTGTTTTAATCATGCTGAAATACTTGCAACGTAAAACTATTTGAAGTGCACAGTTCAGTGGCATGAAGTACATTCTCATTGTTGTCCCATCATCCCCACACCAGCTCCAGAACTTCTTCATCTTCCCAAATGGAAACCCTGGACCCAATAAGCAATACTCCACATCCACCCTTACCCCCAGGCCCTGACACCCACCATTCTCCTTTCTGTCTCCATGAATCTGACAACTCTGGTGTCTAGGGAAGAAATCTCCAGTGTTTGTCCTTTTGTGTCTGACTTCTTTCACTTTGGGTAATGCCCTCCAGGCTCATCCATGGTATGAGTGCCTCAGCGTTCCTTCCTTCTGAAGTTGAGGAATATTCTGTCGTGTGTCTACAACACACTTGGTTTATCCGCTCACCTGACTCTATTATCTCTTGAGTCTCAGCATTCCCCCAGCCAGTCTTTCTGGAAGATTGTGGTGCCTAGGGAGAATCAGAGACCGCTATTCCACAGAGGTGACTGAGCCTGCCCTTCCCAGGCTTTCTTCACTGCAGCTGAAGAGTAAGAAACTCTTCCAATAGTTGCGGCATTGATACACACAAGGGAGCGGTCAATGTTATCTCCAGAAATGGGGGCTGCAAGTCACAGGACCTCATGGGGTAGAAAAATGCAGCCTCAGCTGAAGGAAAGGAAAAGTTTCTCTGAAAGGTTTGGAAGTACACTCGCAGTTGCTACCCTGCAAGCTATGCCGGGAGTAGAAAGGCGGGGCTTGCAATGGCTTGTTTAGGTCAAAGTTTTCTCTGCAGGGTGGTATTTCTGTGGCTGAGCTCATGAACCCTGGAATCCTGGACTCCCGTAAACACACTCTTGGTCTAGGCCAGCGGTTCTTAAACTGTGATCCCTGGACCAGCAGCATCAGCATCACCTGGGAACTTGAGAAAAATGCAAACTCTCAGCCCCGCCCCAGATCTACTGAATCAGAACTTCTGCAGTGGATGCAGTAACTTCTCAGTAGTTGTGAGACAAATGCTGTTTCTTTCGCATGCTTATTTATCCTTCATGTAGGCATTATTTATTTATCACCTCTCAGTGCCAACTACCATGCTAGTGATGGCATTAGGCAGAGACACGCCTGTGCCCACAGAGCTCACATTCTTATCCGTTAAAGCATGGCCAAAAGAGGCAAGGGACTCAAGATGGAGAAGCCTAAATGAAGAACAGAAACGAAGGGGGTCAAAGAGACAGGCTCTGCAGATCCTGAATAGATCAGCCAGTCCCTGAAGACCTGTGTCTCGCAGGGCTGCTCCCTGGCAGGCTGTGTAGCGGATGATAGTGTAAACCAAAGTAAATTTCTAAGACCCGCCCCCACCCACCCATCATCTGAATGGACTTCCTCCTCTGCCAGGGCACTCTTAAAATTTAACCTGAGAGACTGCTCCAGGTCATGATGGGAAGTGGGGATTGGATGTGCCTCCTTGTACCTCTTGGGCATGGCACTAACATCAATGCAGACCTTAAGTCTAATAAAAAACATTTACAGGCCGGGCGCAGTGGCTCACGCCTGTAATCCCAGCACTTTGGGAGTCCGAGGCAGGTGGATCACGAGGTCAGGAGATCGAGACCATCCTGGCTAATGCAGTGAAACCCCGTCTCTACTAAAAATACAAAAAATTAGCCGGGCGTGGTGGCGGGCGCCTATAGTCCCAGCTACTCAGGAGGCTGAGGCAGGAGAATGGCGTGAACCCGGGAGGCAGAGCTTGCAGTAAGCCGAGATCGCACCACTGCACTCCAGCCTGGGCAACAGAGCAAGACTGTCTCAAAAAAAAAAAAAAAAAAAAAAAAAATTTACAATCTATTCTCTCTGAAGCCTGCTACCTGGAGGCTTCACCTGCATGATAAAACTTTGGTCTCCACCACCTCTTATTGCAGCCCATACATTTTCTTTCCATTGATCTCAGCTCTTTAGATAAATTCAGCCAATTGTCAACCAGAAAATTTTAAATCTACCTATAATCCGAAAGCACCCCCATCCCCCCAGCGCTTCAGGTTTGTCCTGCCTTTCTGGACTGAATCAATGTACCTCTTAAATGTATTTGATTGATGTCTCATGTCTCTCTAAAATGTGTAACACCAAGCTATGCCCAAACTACCTGACCTGTTCCCAGGATCTCCTGAGGGCTGTGTCAGGGGCCTTGGTCACTCACATTTGGCTCATAATAAATCTCTTCAAATATTTTACGGAGTTCGACTGTTTTCGTCAGCAGTAGATTCAGTTTTTACACCCTCCATCTGCGCAACAGAGTCTATGTATTATATTCATTTCCTGCGGCTGCCGTAACAAACTGCCACAGACTTGGAGGCTTATGAAAACACGAGTGTGTTCTCTCACAGTTCTGGACATCAGAAATCCAGAATCAAGGTGTCAGCAGCATGCTCCCTCCAAAGGCTCTGGGGGGACCCCTTGTCTCTTCCAGCTTCTGGTGGCTCCAGGTGACCCGGGGCTTGTGGCAGCATCACTCCCATCTCAGCCTCTGTCTCCACATGGCTTCTGCCCTGTGTCCTGTCTCCTTTTCCTCCCTTATAAGGGAACTTGT